TGGAAGAGCAAACCATGGTCCAGGAAGCCAAATTGTTCTTCTTTACACCATCTGCGGAGACAGTTATTCACCTCGACTATTTTCTCGTTTTTCCTGGGCCGCGTCATACAATGGGAAGGAGAGATTAAAAGACCACCTGTACATTATCTTTTAGCTTTCTTCCAAGTGCTTCAAAATCCTTTCTGATCTTTTGAAGACTAATAATAATAATAATAATAATAATAATAATAATACTCCTGACCTCACAATCGTGTTAAAAACTAAGTATTTATTTATTATTTATTTACATCATTTTTATCCCACCCATTTCAGCCTGAAGGCAACTCAGGGCAGCGTACAAACCAGCAACAATTAGATGCCATACACACACACACACACATATATCAGTTAAAAGCAATTAAATCACATCATAAATGCATATAAAATCCATAAAAGCTATAAAAACTATAAAAATCTATTTAAAAACATTGTCTTCCTATCCAATTCCTCATCTGTTTAGCCGTTCCATGTTCGGATCATTAATGTTGCAATCCCTGGTGACAGCAAGATTGAAGAGAAACAACTGGGAAAGCTGACAATACGAGGATTAAAAGATCAAACTGCAAAGACTGGCACAAGCCAGTCAAGGTGGTCCCAGTGGTGATTGGCACACTGGGTGCAATACCTAAAGACCTTACCCTGCACTTAAATACAATTGGCGCTGACAAAATTACCGTCTGTCAGCTGCAAAAGGCCACCTTACTGGCATCTGCATGCATTATTCACTGATACATCACACAGTCCTAGACACTTGGGAAGTATTCGCCATGTGATCCATTACAACAGCTAGCAGAGTGACCTTGTTTGCTGTGTACTAATTTTGTTATGTTTCAAATAATAATAATAATAATAATAATAATAATAATAATAAGCTTTATTTGTACCCTGCCTCCTCTCCCAGAAGGGACTCAGGGAGGCTTACAGCAACCCACCAATACAGTAAATTATATGGGCAATAAACAATAAACAACAATAAACAGATATCACTTAATACAAAAAGAATAACACAGTAGTGTAAACATTAATAACAGTTTAAAACTATTTGCCCTCTAAAACAGTATAGATATAAACACCATTTGAAACCAGCCATGCCTTGCAGTATTGTTGGTTCCTACATGAAACAACATGAAAGGTGGAGGGTTAGTGAGCTTGATGAGTCTGCTCAGCCACTGAATTACGTGATGGATTTTTGCACCAGGGAGGCAGCGTATTTCTCTAGACATCCTATCAGGCTTGCAAATTACTGCTTCTGTTCCTCTCAGGAAGGAGTTGCCTACAACCAAGACCCGTTTCCTCTGAGGATTGGCAGGGTCTCTTTCCTTAAGGTGTTCTGTCGATCTCCTGAAGACTGACCTTGTTGCTGAACTGGATTGTGTTGCTCTAACCTGGCCTCCTCCTCAGAGACGTTCCCCCTACATTTATCAAAGATAATCCAGTCAGATGTGTCCAAGACCCCCTCATTCTCCCTAGTGTGTTCTTGCTCTGCGTCATCTATGATAATCCCAAACTGAATCCCTGAATAGGAGCACTTGGTGCTGCAACAATGACCAAACAGCCTAATACTAATGGACTCCAATCCTTGGGCTAAGGCTACCGAGGAAGGAAAACCTGCTCAATGTTTTTGTTTTATGTTAAGGTGAAGGCAAAGGTTTACCCCTGACATTAAATCTAGTCATGTCCAACTCTGGGAGTTGGTGCTTATCTCCATTTCTAAGCCGAAGAGCCGGCGTTGTTCGTAGACACTCCCAAGGTAATGTGGCCAGCATGGTTGTATGGAGCGCTGTTATCTTCCCGCAGAAGTGGTATCTATTGATCTCACATTTGCATGTTTTCAAACAGCGAGGTGAGCAGAAGCTGGGTCTAACAGCAGGAGCTCAACCCATTCCCTGGATTCGAACCATCGACCTTTAGGTCAGCAAGTTCAGCAGCTCACCGGGGCTCCTGTTTTATGTTAGATATAATTTATTTGATATGTAATGCTTTATTTAAAATTAGATGTTAAGTTATAATTTGTTTTTATATGTTGGGTTATTTTTTGATATTATGTTTGTATTGGCTGTTGTATTCAGGCTTTGAATGTTTGCCTTTTTGTGGCTGGAATCCACCCTGAGTGCTTTCGTAGAGAGAGGGTGGAATACAAATAAAGTTTTAATTTTATTCTTATAATATTATTATTAAACCCCTATTTGAGGGGCCGTAGAACCTAAAATCGGTTGCTTGTCTATCTTCCAATACTTCTGCAAATATTGAATGCGGACCTCAGAGAATTTCTTAATAATCCAGAAGCTTGCAGTTTTTTCATGTTGAAATGAAAGCAAGCTGTGGGTTTGGGGAAGAGGGGCGAATGAGCCTAAGCATTTTATGATGGGTTTTTTTTTTCTGCACTTGGGAAAAATTGCAACAGAGACTCAATGACGGAAGAATCATGAGTCAGTCCTTCTGTTGCTGTTGTTTTTTTTCCTGCCTGTAGTCACTTTCATCAGGTGCCCCCCTTGAAAAGAAGCTGGATCCAGGAACATTATTGATTTCAGAGAATGGAGCTGACACTAAATACAAAAGCCACGTTTTCTGACTGAATTTTTGGCCCTTTTGTTGAGTGCTTCCTTCTTGTTCTGCTCAGTTTCTTCTTCCTTTTAGTTATGATGTGATCTTGTTTGGAATGAAGAATGTTTTACCCCCATTAAGTGATGCCGATCACTAACCTCACAGTTACATAATGTGAATGCCGTTTCTACCAGCAATGGCCAGAGTTGGGAAAAGCTCCTTTTCTCCTGGATATCAATGGCATTCGAATCCACTCTGGATTTTAGTTCAAACTCTAAAGAAATGATCTCTGTAGGAGTAGAGGTAGGGAATGCCGTGGATGTAGTGAACCTGGATTTCCTTTGACACCTTCCTCCATGACCTTCTGGCAAACACGCTAGTCAAATGTGGGCTAGGCAAAACTATGGTTAGGTGGATCCGTCATTGGTTAAGTGAGCAAACCCAGAGGGCGATTCTCCCCAATGCTTCCTCTTCATCCTGGAAAGAAGTGACAAGTGGAGTGTTATAAGCAGGGCTCCGTTTTGGGACCAGTTCTGTTCATCATCTTTATTAATGACTTAGATGAAGGGTTAGAAGTCACGATAATCAATTTTTCAGATGGGACCAAATTGGGAGAGATGGCTCCAGAAGACAGGAGCCAAATTTAAAATGATCTCAACAGATTAGATAGAGAGATGATTGGCCAAAATAAACAAAATGAAGTTCAACAGAGACAAATGCAAGATACTCCACTTAGGCAGAGAAAAGGAAATGCACAGATACAGAATGAGGGACACCTGGCTCGATAGCAGTACATGTGGAAAAGATCTTGGAGTCCTCATGGCCAACATGTTAAACATGAGACAATAATGTCATGCGGTAGCTTAAAAAGCCAATGGGATTTTGGCCTGCATCAATAGGAGTCCAATATCTAGATGCAGGGAAGTCATGCTACCCCTCTATTCTGCCTTTGTCAGACCACTTTACCTGGAATCACACAGTGTCCAGTTCTGGGCAACACAATTTAAGGGAGATGTTGACTCTAAGGTGGAATGTGTTCAGAGAAGGGCGACTCAAAGGATCAAGGGTTTGGAGAACAAGCCCTATGAGGAGCAGCTTAAAGAGCTGGGCATGTTTAGCCTGCAGAAGAGAAGGCTGAGAGGAGACATAATGAGGGCCATGTATCAACATGTGAGGGGAAGTAATATAGAGGAGGGAGCAGGCTTGTTTTCTGCTGCCCACAGAGGCAGCCCTAGGTAATTTTCAATGGTAAGCAAACAGTATTTTGCCCCCCCACCCCACCCAATCACTGATATATATTTTCTGTTCATCGTGGGAGTTCTATGTGTCATATTTGGTTCAATTCCATCATTGGTGGAGTTCAGAATGCTCTTTTATTGTAGGTGAACTATACATCCCAGTAACTACAACTCACATATGTCAAGGTCTATTTTCCCCCAAGAGCGCCTCAAGAGCGCCCCTGAGCAAAATCAACTATACTGCAAATGCTTACTTTGTGTAATGGGTTGAGCCACCCCTGGCTGCCCAGGAGAGTAAAACAATGGCTTCAAACTCCAGAAAGGAGATTCCATCTGAACATGAGGAAGAACTTCCTCACTGTGAGAGCTATTATTCAGCAGTGGAACTCTGCCCTGGAGTATGGTGGAGGCTCCTTCTTTGGAGGCTTTTAAAGAGAGGCTAGATGGCCATCTGTCAAGAGTTCTTTGAATGCAATTTTCCTGTTTCTTGGCAGAGGGTTGTATTGGATGGCCCACATGGTCTCTTCCAACTCTAGGATTCTATGACTCTACCCCTCTATACTGCCTTGGTCAGATCACACCTGGAATGACACTGTGTCCAGTTCTGGGCATCACAATTGAAGGGAGATGTAGGCTGGAGACTAAGATGTGGGACAATGGCTTCAAACTACAATGGTTCCACCTGAACATTAGGAAGAACTTTCTAACTTTGAATGCTGTTCAGCAGTGGAACTCTCTGCTCCAGAGTTTGGTGGAGGCTCCTTTGGAGGCTCCTTTGGAGGCTTGTAAGCAGAAGCTGGATGGCCATATGTCAGGGGTGCTTTGAATGTGATTTTCCTGCTTTTTGGTAGAATGGGGTTGGACTGGATGGCCCACGAGGTCTCTTCAGACTCTACGATTCTGTGATTCTACTGTAAACCTATCCACCAAACAGCCTTGGCATCTTGGGAGATGTGCCTTAACATTTCAACTAAAACCTGGAAGAGTAAGATGGGACCTACAAACTAGTTTCCAATTCCTCGCCATGGGAAGTCCTTGATGGTTTCGTGGTGTCCTTTGAGCCAAGGCAGATAATTATCCATCATGGGCTGTCTCTGTCAGACAGGCACATGCAAGGCTTTGAAAGTGAGTTACCAAAAACACCTTTCCTTCCCCTTCCCCTTTTCTCTTTCTCTGCAGGACCACAATTCTCTGCAATAGTTATTCCCATTTGCCAATTGCTGTAGCTCACCATGAGAGCGGCAGTTCGGGCTCAGTGTGCAGTGAAGCTAATTCATTCCCTCTGGATAAACCTGATTTTCATGGAGGTAAGAGCATCAAAGCAACAGCAGAGAGGCTTGGGAGGGGGAAGGCTTTTCTTTGCCAGGGCCGTTATTGATCTTTCTGCTGGAGAATTCGACAATATTTGGTCCCATAAAAGAAATGGAAAGCTCAGCTTGCTCCCTCAACTACTTCTATATCTTCCATCAACTTTTGCCAAGGTGCATTCCTTCCCAAGAAATTGCTGCTTTTCTCATCCATTTTGTGAAAGGATCAGGTCCCGATTTGCTCTACTTCTTTAAAAAGTGGGAGCATTTGGGCACATTTCGGTGACTTTGGGTTCATCTATACCAGGTATGGGCAAACTTGGGCCCTCCAGGTGTTTTGGACTTCAACTCCTACAATTCCTAACAGCCTCATGCCCTTTCCTTTTCCCCCTCAGCCACTTAAGCGGAAAGGAGAAGAAAAGGAAGGGGCCAGAGGCTGTGAGGAATTGTGGGAGTTGAAGTCCAAAACACCTGGAGGGAGGGATGGAGTTTACCCATGCCTGATCTATACTGTAAAATGCATGCACTTTGACACCACTTTAATTGCGATGGCTATATACTGCGGAATCAGGGGAGTTATAGTTGTACCTTTTTTGTCTTCAGCCTTCTCTGCCCAAGACTTACAATACTTCACCAGACTAGACATACTAGGATTCCATAGCGTTTGGGCCAAGGCAGTTAAAGTGGTGCCAGTCTGCATTTATTCTAAACTGTAGATGCACCCATTGCATTGCGTCAATGACAGAAGTAATGCAGGTGTTATTACATGTGCGATGACCACTTGCTGGGAAACTGAGCGGGTTTGCTTTCCTTGCTCCCGAAAAAGCAATCTTCTTGTTGCTATGATATATTTGGAAGGCTTTGGGAAATGTTGACAGAAGATTCAGAAGCAAAATCGATTGCGGGAGGCTTGTGGATTGCAGTGGCTGACCTAACAGCAAAAGTCTTAAGAGTGAAGCGGAAAGTAGGCTGCCCTCTGTTTGGGACTTTCGGCCAAAGGCTTTGTTCCTTCCCTAGTCAACATTGAAAAGGGGACAAAAAGCATGGCATTTTCCGCCAAGTTCTAGCAATCCCAATGGTGTATGTGAAGTTAATGATCAAAGCAGATTTTAGCTCTACGGTTGCCAATATCCTCCAGTTACTCACCAGGCTGGCTGTGGGATTCCTGGAACTATGGTAAAACAAGCAAACGGAACTTCCCCAAGCGCCGAGCAATTTCTAGCTTCAGCCAGTCTTAAATATTTGGAGAATAATAATAATAATAATAATAATAATAATAATAATAATAAATTATTTATATTCCGCTCTATCTCCCCAAGGGGACTCAGAGCAGATTACAGAATACACATATATGGCAAACATTCAGTGCCATTATACAATGAACAACAAAAACAGTACACAGATAAAGGTAAAGATAACGTGATGTATAAAGTATATTTGTTAGAATCCTGTTGATGACGTAGACCAGTATACTTAGAAGGTATGTTCAGCAGTGTAGAAAGTAAAGATAACACAAATCTGGTGCAAAGCGTGCCATGGAATACTGCAAGTCATTTGGCCTGTACTCAGCCCACAAGAAATGCAAGTCCATCTAAGCGCATGGTATTGTATAATGTTTATTGGCTGGAGTCCTCTTGGTGACATAGGCTGGTATTCTTAGAAGGTAAACCTAGCAATGTAAGGGGTAAAAGAGAACACAAATCTTGTGCTGTGCATGCCATGAAACAGCTGGCCCATCTGCAACCCACTAGAATGAAATTCCAATCAAGGACAAGGGAAGAATATAATGTTGTATGAAGTATGTTGGCTGGGATCCTTTTGGTGACATAGACTGCTGAACTTAGAAAGTACACCTAGCAGTGTAACCTTTGGGATGTTGTGGAAGGAAGTGTTCAGTACTTCCTTCCACAACATCTCCAACCCTGAAAGAGTTTCTCAGTGCCAGCATGCAGCTTTATTACAATTCGCCAGGGTGAAGTGTCCCTGCTTACATCCACTAGATGATAATGGCGGTCCTTTATATTATATCTCATTTGAGTGGATGGTTTTGTTACAGAGCTGCAGTGCCAAGGTTCTGGAAAAGACGCTGGAACAATGGATGCAATACAAGGATGAGTGCTTTAAGAAAATGGCCAATGACCCCTATCCCACAGGTGAGGAACTTTCCTTTCTTGGTCAATAGTTGTTGGTTTTAAAGTTACGACTGAGCATTCCAATTCCCATCAGCGCACTTAAATCAAAAGCTTGGAATATAGGAAAGTTTTGGTCTGAGCTTACTGAGCTATGGAAGTTCTGTGTAGTCAACTGCTTAGAAGCATTGGAATTTGAGTCCCCATTGAACCATGAAACTGGGCAATGGGGGACCAGCTGCAATCTTTTCCAGCATGGGCTATCCATCTCATAAGGGTGTTGTGGGGTAAAGGGGGCAGAAGGAGAGCCATCCATATCATCTTTCACCAGATAATAGATAATAAGTGCTGCAAATAAATAATGAAGACAATGGCCTGTAGTATGCTCACATCACATCATATTGCTCAGGGTTGGGGAACCTAGAACCTTCTAGATCAGAGGTGAACCATCCATATCGGCTTTTGCCCAGGAAAGAAAGTATATAAGTGCTGCAAATAAATAATGAAGACAGTCACTTGTAGTCTGATCACATCATATTGCTCAGGGGTTGGGGAACCTAGGACCTTCTAGATCAGAGGTGAGCCATCCATATAATCTTTTGCCCATAAAAGAAATTGTATAAGAGTTGCAAATAAATAATCAAGATAATTGCCTGTAGTGTGCTCACATCACATCATATTTATCAGGGTCAGGGAACCTAGAACCTTCTAGATCACGTTTTAGAGCAATCCATATAATCTTTTGCCCAGGAAAGAAAGGATGTAGGATAAAGGTTTTCCCCTGACCTTTAGTCTAGTCATGTTCAACTCTGTGGGTTGGTTCTCATCTCCATTTCTAAGCCAAAGAGCCAGCATTGTGTGTAGACACCTCCAAGATCATGTGACCAGCATGACTGTATAAGTGCTGCAAATAAATAATGAAGACAATCACCTGTAGCTTGCTCACATCACATCATACTGTAGATGTTCAGGGTTGGCACTGTAGATGTTGGATCCTCCAACCCCCAGGAACCCCTATTGCCAGACTTTCCAATGGCCAGGAATTCTGGGAGCTGAAGTCCAAAATACCCGGAGAGCCACAAGTTTGACATCATTGTTCTAAATGTTATTGGACTCCAAGTCCCATCTGTTCCTGCAGGACTAGCCAGTAGCGAGGGATGATAGGAATAGTATTTAATGAACATCTGGAGGGCCACAGATTGCCACTCCTGAAGTAGTTAATTAGTGCAAGGTGTCTTGATGAAAATCCAGTGGAGCTGCCAGTTGGGTTTGTCTTCTCGGCCAGTCATTTCCAACCTTGGTTCTCCAAGCATTGCTGGTCTAATAACTCCAGCATGTCTAAACTACCAATCCTGACACTTGCCATACTGACTGGGTCTTATTAGAAGTCAGAGCCTCTGAGAAGCCAATGTTGTGAACTAAAAATCCTGGGCATGCTGCTCCTGTTGGCAAGTTGATTTTTTTCCAGAGGTAGATAAAGATGACACCTTGGAAAGGAGCCACAAATTCATGCTGAGCTTCTTTCCTGCAAGAGAGCTGGTATGCATTTGTGTGTAGATACTCACAGCTTGACAGGATACAATTAAAGCACCTGGAGCTATTGTTTCCAGAACAGGAATGGAAGAATTTATATTAAAAATAAGAAAGAAGTAGAAGTTTCTTTACAAAGATGCTGCATTGAAGACAGGGAGCTGTATTGGAGGCTGAGAAGCTTGCATTTTGGTTGAAGCAGCGTTTGGGAGGAAGTTGTTATTATGTTTGGACTATAACTCCCAGAATCCCCACTCCACAGATTCAGGATTCTGGAAGGTCTAATAAAAATCAAACTTTTCCAAGTTGTGGGGTGAAATATAGTCCTCGGGCCTCAGAGCTTTACAAAGTTAGAGATCTGATGCTGAGTAGAATTGCCTCCGCTTTCTCCCTCGCAGATGCCCTTCTGTATTTGCACAGGGATTACATTTTATGAAGACACTATAATCTCCTCCAAACAGTATTGGTCTGGGGCTTTTCACTGCTTGGGAAAGTGGAGAGCCTGTGCACACAATATTAAAGCTACTCAAACACATCTCCTAAAGGGCATCCTTGCCTATGGAGAATGTGTACTTATCGTGAGTCTCTCTGTAAGGCAGTGTTTCCCAACCTGGGGATCGGGACCCCTAGGGGTCACCAAAACCATCAGAAAACACTGTATTTTCTGTTGGTCACGGTGGTTCTGTGTGGGAAGCTTGGCCCAGTTCTATCGTTGGTGGGGTTCAGAATGATTTTTGATTGTAGGTGAACTATAAATCCCAGCAACTACAACTCCCAAACTCCACCAATGTTCACATTTAGGCATATCAAGTATTTGTGCCAAGTTTTGTCCAGATCCATCATTGTTTGAGTCCACAGTGCTCTCTGGATGTAGGTGAACTACAACTCTAAAACTCAAGGTCAATGCCCACCAAACTCTTCTAGAATTTTCTGTTGGTCATGGGAATTCTGAGTGCCAAGTTTGGTCCAATTCCATCACTGGTGGAGTTTGGAATGCTCTTTGATTGTAGGTTAACTAGAAATCCCAACAACTACAACTCCCAAATGACAAAATCAACCCTCTCCCCCAACCCCACCTGTATTCAAATTTGGGTGTATCGGGTATTTGTACCCAATTTGGTCCAGTGAAGGAAAATACATCCTGCATATCAGGTATTTACATTACAATTCATAAAACTAGCAAAATTACAGTTATGAAGTAGCAACGAACATAATTTTATGATTGGGGGTCATCACAACATGAGGAACTGTATTGAGGTTTCGTGGCAGGAAGGTTGAGAAACACTGCTGTAAGGCATAATAATTCAGAACCCGGCTTTCATTCTCTTTATATCATAGCTTACTCAAAAATACAACCCATCTTTTCAGATTGGAATAAAATGGATGGGAAATGGGATGTATTGGTAATCTAGTCCAGCTCTCCATGGAAGAACATAATCTTGGAATGGGACAACCACCTATCTCTGCTTGGATATATCCAGCAGAGGAGAGTCTAGCATTTCCCCAGGAAGCTTCCACTGTTTCTCATCTATTTCTGGTTGGAAAGTTTCTTCTAAGCACAATCTCTTTCCTTGCCATTTCTGACCATTGGCTTGTTCCGAGACTAATGGAGAACCAGTCTGTTCCCTTTCTTTTAAGCAGGGAAAGGTTACCTTTCACATTGCCAGTGTTTCAATTCAGAAGGTCTTGCTCAAAAAATGGGTACTCTTTCTCCTAGCCAACCAACCCAGTGTCATTGCTTTTTTTTCCAGGGATCTTTTGCAACCGGACCTTTGACATGTATGCGTGCTGGCCAGATGGAAGCCCAGGTGCCGTCGTCAATGTCTCCTGCCCTTTCTACCTGCCCTGGTATGAGAAAGGTGAGGTGTCAAACATCCATGTGCTCGGTGCCTGCATTTCTGTGACCAGATCATCCTGTTCCTCCATAGAGAAGTCCAACCACTTGGTTAGGACAGGCTGAAGTTTGCATTGGGTGGAAATCAAAATCCCTGGGAACAGTTGCTGTCCTTGGTTCTGAAATGCCAGATCTGCAAGAATTGAGGTCAGGTTGAATTACTTTGCCGATGAATTTCACATCTCAGTAAAACTGAGATTACTCAAATCTAAATCTTCACATCACATGTCTATCTGTCTATGGATGACACATCTGCCTGGCACCCAGTCAAACTGTTATGTATTTCTTGCTCAATACTGGGAGGAAAGTTTCATGAGGAGGTCTTCACCAACACAGCTACTTGAGAGCTTTTGAGCTAGAAATGCTTGGCACTGAGTTAGGATCATTCACTCTAAACACGTGCACAGTTCCTTCCCAGTCCTTCGCAATTCCGGTCCTGAGATCAGTATGCTTAGAATCATAGAATCGTAGAGTACGTCTCCCAAGATGCCAAAGCTGTTTGGTGGATAGGTTTACAGTAGAATCACAGAATCGTAGAGTCTGAAGAGACCTCGTGGACCATTCAGTCCAACCACATTCTGCCAAGAAGCAGGAAAATCACATTCAAAGCACCCCCGACAGATGGCCATCCAGCCTCTGTTTAAAAGCTTCCAAAGAAGGAGCCTCCACCACACTCTGGAACAGAGAGTTCCACAGCTCTCACAGTGAGGAAGTTCTTCCTCATGTTCAGGTGCAATCTCCTTTCCTGTAGTTTGAAGCCATGCTTCCGTGTCCTACTCTCCAGGGCAGCAGAAAACAAGCTTGCTCTCTCCTTTCTGTGATTTCCCCTCACATATTTATATGTGACCATCATCATGTCTCCTCTCAGCCTTCTTTTCTTCAGGCTAAACATGCCCAGCTCTTTCAGCCACTACTTGTAGGGCCTGTTCTTCAGACTCTTGATCCTTTGAGTTGCTCTCCTCTGGACACATTCCAGCTTAGAGTCACTATCTCCCTTCAACTGCTGTGCCCAGAATTGGGCACAGCATGGTCTGTCCAAGGCAGAATAAAAGGGATAGCATGATTTCCCTGGATCTAGGCACTAGACTCCTATTTATGCAGGTCAAATTCCATTGGCTTTTTAAGCTGCCGCATGACATTGTTGACTCCTGTTCGCCTTCCTGTCCAGGAGGATGCCAAGATCTTTTTCACACGTACTGCTGTTGAGCTAGGCATCCCCATTCTGTATCTTGCATTTCATTTTTTTCGGCCTAAGTGGAGTATTTTGTATTTGTTCCCGTTGAACTTCCTTTTGTTAGTTTTGGCCAATCATCTCTCTAATCTGTTGAGACCATTTTGAATTCTGCTCCTGTCTTCTGGAGTATTGGTTCTACCTCCCAATTTGGTGTTTGCTAATCCATTTAAATATCCTGCTCTCCCATTTCATGTCAGACCCAATCTTGTTAGGGGATCTTGGCAGCTGAAGACTGACAAAGTACTTTTTCCAGTGTGCGTTATCCAGGAAAATGTGTTCTTCCCTATGAACTGCTTTTTGTTTTCCAACAATGCTTTGTAGATAGTTCTGTGATTTGTTTCTGTTCTGAGCAGGAAAAGAATAGTCAGTTTGCATTTGGAGGCTCCTCCATCTAGTGGCCAGATGCAATACAGCTCCTATTGGGTTGCTGTGAGTATTCCAGGGTGTGTTTCAGAAGCATTCTCTCCTGACGTTTCACCCACTCTAAAAGGATATTTACTATTATTTATATTATTATTATTATTATTATTATTATTATTATTATTATTCCTATTTACAATTCTAAGGTAGAGAGGAAGGACAATAACACATGGATTATTGGATTATTTATTATATATTGTGAAGTCTGTTGGAAATGAGGCAAGTGGGGTTTATATATCTGTTGAATAATGTCCAGAGTGGGAAAAAGAGCTCTTGTCTATTTGAGGCAAGTGTGAATAGTACAATTGGCCAGCTTGATTAGCATTGAATGGCCTTGCAACACCTTGCAACACATCCCAACAAAGGATTCCCCCAGGCAGAAATAAGCCAGACTTTGAAGCTGCAAGGTCATTCAATGCTAATCAAGGTGGCCAATTGCAGAGCCATACTGTTGCAATTGGCCACAAGAATTCTTTCTCCCACCCTGGACATTATTCTACAGATGTATATACACTCCTCTTGCCTCATTTCCAACAGACTTCTGAGGATGTCATTAGCCACAGATACAGGTGAAACAGCAGGAGAGAATGCTTCTGGAACATGACCATACAGCCTGGAAAATTCACAGCAACCCAGTGATTCTGGCCATGAACGCCTTTGACAATGCAGAGCTGCTGTTGCTCAAGTCATTTTTGGACTACCACTCCTATCAGCCCCAGCCAGTATGTACGTCCTCCCCAAAGCAGCATCATCCAAACCACAGCTCTTGCTGTCTACTCAGAAGTAACAGCAAGAAGCAAAACAGGACAGTCACAAATCTAATAACAGCATATTAGACATCAGCATCAGACAATAGTGAAGCATTCCAGCAAATTAGGCATCACACAATAAAAAAATCACATTTTGACAGATAAGCATGTAAAAATAAAACTTAAAAATGGAGACTAATAAGTATCTATATAAAAAAATGTAATATTCATTTGTGGGATTAACATAACTGATAAACCACTGGACAAATTGACACCAAATTTAGACACAATACACCTATCAGGCCAACAAGTGACCATCATTTATAAAAACACTGAAAAACACAACAGAAGAGACTTAAAAAGACAAAAAATAAAAAATATATTACAAGGCATGTGCAAACCCACCCATAAATATATATACACACATATACACAAAACACATATATACATACTGAGCCACAGCAACACATGGCAGGGGATTAACATTAGTTCAACATTAAAATTTAAAAGCCAGAGTAACAAGTTATTGGATGGCCATCTGTCAGGAGGGCTTTAAAGCAGAAGGGTATTGGACTGGATGACGGTGATAATAATGTTGTTGTTGATAATTATAGTGTGTTACCTGCCCCTCTTCATAGCCTTTGGGGGTGGCACCTAATGACACATTGCTTTGATGGTGCCTTCTCTTATGGTAGCGTGGGATTGGGTTAGATGGCCTTTGGGAGTCCCTTCCAACTCTAGTGAAATGTAGATTGCCTGGAGGTCTGGTGGAGTCTCCCTTTTTGGAGGTCTGAAAAATAATCAAAATAATAATGGAAAATAATAATAATAATTTTAAAAATAATCACAAAAAGTAATGGAAAAAACTTAATAATAATAATAATAATAACTCAACAAAATAATCCAAAAGATTAATGGAAAAATCAAAATAATAATAATAAATATTCACCAAAATAATGGGAAAAAAATCAAAATTAGGCCATTACTTCCCATCGCCATTCTGAGAAGGGCTGCAGATGAAAATGGAGACATTTGGAGCTCTATCAGTTCCAGGTATTTTAATGTGTTGTCACAAAACCGAGAGGCATTTTTGTGGGATTTGTGTTGTTTATTTGTTTTGGGAGCACTGTGGACTTTGGAGTTACGAAAGTATGGTCCTGGACCAATGTCTGGTCCACTTGTTTTAGTGTATGTCGGTGCACCTCCTGCCAATGTCGCGCCTCATGTCCAAACACCAAGCCTCTTAACTTCTTGTGTTTTCAGTTCAACATGGGCTGGCGAGCCGGAAGTGTGGCCTCGATGGGCACTGGGTGCTGGTGAATGGGACGGATCTCTGGAGGGACCTTTCCCAGTGCAAGCAGGAGGTGGAAGCAGCTTTTGAAGAGGTGGGAAGGGAACCAGATGGGGATTTGTGGTCTGTGGGTGAAACTAGCCTTGCCATCTGTTTGAAAATAAACCAGCGTGCCTACTTGGTTTGCCTGGATAGTCTCACCCTCGCTAGGCTGGGGCTAAACCCTGACAATATCATAGGAAGAGGATCCTAGTCATCCAATATGGATGCCTTAAATATTGAAGTGTGCGCCCTTAGAATGTCTGTATAAAGAGGAGTTTGATCCCGGTTGGTGGAAGGACATGAAGGACAAAGGCTACTATTGTATTAAAGATCTGTATTATATAAATGGGGCTGCAGTGGAGCAGTGGGATAAACTGCTAAGCTGCAGAACTTGCTGACCGGAAGGTTGGCAGTTCAAATCCACAGGATGAGGTGAGCTCCTGTTGTTAGCTCCAGCTTCTGCCAACCTAACCGTTTGAAAATATGCAAATATGAGTAGATCAATAAGTACCGCTCCGGTGGAAAGGTAATGGTGTTCCATGCAGTCATGCTGGCCATATGACCTTGGAGGTGTCTACAGACAATGCTGGCTCTTTGACTTAGAAATTGAGATGAGCACCACCACCCAGAGTCGAACTCGACTAGACTTAATGTCAAGGGGAAAGTTTTATCTTTATGATATAAATGGTCAACGGATCCCCATAAGTAGGATAATAGAAAAAGTGGGAAATAAAAACTAGATAAAAGTATTAATAAACTTAAACAGGGGAAATATGGGGAATGTACAGGCAAAGAAAGTAAGCTGGAGAGTATACTCACTAAAGGAGAGAAATCGGGGAAATCAAAGATGATGATTGATAATCAAAGATGATGAGTATATCGTAAGAACACTACAAAATAAATGGCAGAAAGAAAGCCCCCTGACAAAACAAACAAGGGAGGAACCCATGAAGGGAGTTAGCAGTGGATTAAACCACTAAGCTGCAGAACTTGCTGACTGGAAAGTCAGCGGTTTGAATCTGCGGGACGGGGTAAGCTCCCATTGTTAGCCCCAGCTTCTGCCAACCTAGCAGTTTGAAAACATGCAAATGTTGAAGATCAATAGGTACCGCTTCAGTGGGAAGATAACGGCTCTCCATGCAGTCATACTGGCCACATGACCTAGGAAGCATCTATGAACAATGCTGGCTCTTCGGCTTAGAAATGATGAGCACTACCTCCCAGAGTCGGATTTGGCTAGACTTAATGTAGAGGGGAAACCTTTACCTTTATAAAGAGTTAGAAAGAAAGTTTATTTGGAAATTGTATAGGACACCAGCCCAACGTATCATATTTGGGAACTGGAATAAGCTCAACATGCTGGCCTTGTGGAACAAATAAAGGATGGTACATCCACATGTGGTGAGAATGCCCAAAGATGACCATTTTCTGGGAAAAAATAATAAAGAAAATGGAGAAACAATTTAAAACATCAGTTTAGGTAAATATGGTCATTACGTTAATGGAAATACTAGGGAATAATAAGATTAAGGTTAAAGAACCCAAGATTTATTCAGAGCAGTGATTTTAGCAGGAAAGGCGGTAATAGCCTGGGGGTTGAGAGATGAAGGAAATGGAATATGGAAAATTGGAACAATTACCTGTTTGATGAAGACCAATCAGACATTATGACATGTATAGTTCAAGGGGACAAAACAGAAAAAATTAAAGAGAAATGGGGGACTTACATGGAATGGATAGAAAGGGGTGAAGCCAATATACATAGATTAAGAAAATTGTATTCATGGTTAAAGATAAAGATATAGAGAAAAATGTGGTAAGGGTATGGGGAGGGTGGTGGTGGTGGGGAAACGGAAATGTGAAACGAATAATAACTTTGTAAAAGAGATGAATAGATAATCTAGAAATACTGGGTTGTTGTTATTCGGGCTATATGCCCTCACAACCTCTGAGAATGCTTGCCATAGATGCAGGTGAAACGTCAGGAGAGAATGCTTCTAGAACATGGCCATGTAGCCCGAAAAACTTTCAACAACCCAGTGATTCCAGCCATGAAAGCCTTCAACAATATAATCTAGAAATACTCCATTACTTACAATGCTCCATTACTTACATTACTTACTATTCACAGTTTGTTCTATTATGTACTTAATAATTTTTTAAAGGAAGAGCACCCTAGTGATATCATTAAGTATGAGAGCATTGTGCACCAACTGCAGATACTCAGAACATGCCCGTAAAAAAAACATTTTAGAAATGCAACTAGGGCAGGCACGGGCAAACTTTGGCCCTCCAGGTGTTTTGGACTTCCACCATTCCTAATAACCTCAGGTCCCTTCCTTTCCCCCCTCAGCCACTTAAGCTGTTAGGAATGGTGAGAGTTGAAGTCCAAAACACCTGAAGGACCAAAGTTTGCCCATACCTGAACTAGGGGAAACCTATAGTTTAACTCTTAATCAAATGGGAAACATTCCTTTCCTTGAGTAGAACAGTGAAAGACAAACACTTAAGCCTACCTTAGGAAGACCTAAAAGAAACACCATCCCTTCTACTTTCTCCACCATGGTGAGCATCTGGCCTTTTTGAATACCCGGTTGGCGAAAAGGTTGCATGGATTGTCTCCCTAAGATAAGGCTAGCACTTTCCTGGTCGCAGAATATCGCTGGACCTATCCATGACTCATATCAAAACCCAGTTTGACCTTAAATTCTGCCCTTGACTTTGATATGATGCCAACTTATACATGAGAATGTATGGCAAGCTGCTCTGAGAACAGCTTTGGCCGAGGAGGTGGGATACAAATATTAGCCAGCCACAATAACCCTGCCTACCTGGTGTAGAGAGGTGACGGCTTTTCTCCCTTTGTGTAGGAGGGCATCCACCGGCTGATGGTTGGCTTCAAAGTCATCTACACCGTGGGCTACACCTTGTCCCTGCTTGCGCTGCTCTTGGCTCTCCTCATCCTCACTGTCTTCAGGTATGAGAGCTCAGTTTTGTTCTGGCTGCATCTAACTGTGTAGCTGCGAAGAGTTTGTTCTGTAAGAGTGCAGAACGTGTTTGCTTTATGGGATTTATGGATGAAACGGACTGTCTAGATCAGTGGTTCTCAACCTGTGGGTCCCCAGATGTTTTGGCCTTCAACTCCCAGAAATCCCAACAGCTGGTAAACTGCCTGGGATTTCTGGGAGTTGTACGCCAAAACACCTGGGGACCCACAGGTTGAGAACCACTGACCTAGATTCATTTCAATCTGGTTTCAGGCCTGTCTATAGAACAGAGACAGCTTTGGTCCCCTTGGTGGATGACCTCAGCGGAGAGCTCAACAGGGGGAGCGTGTCCCTGTTGGTTCTCCTGGACATCTCAGCGGCTTCCAATACCATTGACCATGGTATCCTTCTGGGCCATCTCGCCGGGATGGGACTGGGAGGCCCTATATTAGGGTGGCTCTGTTCCTTCCTGGAGGGCCATACCCAGAAGGTGGTGTGGGGGACTCCTGTTCGAACCTCTGACCATTGTCCTGTGGGGTTCCTCAGGGGTCCATCCCCCATTCTGTTCAACATATACATGAAACCGCTGGGAGAGGTCATCCAGAGTTTTGGAGTACAGCATCATGGATATACAGATGACACCCTACTCTACTACTCCTTTCCACCTAAAGCCAAGGAAGCTGTCCTGACCCTAAACCAGTGCCTGCCAACAGTAATGACCTGGATGAAGGCAAACAAATTGAAACTTAATCCAGACAAGACAGAGGTGCTCCCGGTCAGTTGGAAGGCAGATCAGGGAATAGGGACCCAACCTATGCTGGATGTGGTCCACTTCCCTTGAAGACACAGGTTTACAGTTTGAGGGCTCAGTGCCAAACCTGGAGGCCCAAGTATCTGCAGTGGCCAGGAGGGCATTCTTTACACCATTAAAACTTGTGTTCCAACTACGACTGTTCCTTGAGAAGCCAGATCTGGCCATGGAGGTCCATYCCTTAGTTACATCGCACCTGGATGACTGTCGTGCGCTCTCCGTGGGGCTTCCTCTGAAGAGTGCTCGAAAACATCATCTGGTCCTCACTGGAGCTGGTTGTAGGGAGTGAGAACCCCCCCCCCCCCGTTGCAGCAGCTCCACCGACTGCCAGTCTATTACCAGGTACAATTCAAAGTGCTGGTTATGACCTTTAAAGCCCTTAACGGTTCAGGATCAGGCTATTTGGCTGACATRGTGTCTGTGTACGAACCTGCCATTTGGGCTTTGAGATCCCCTTCAGGAGAGGCCCTTCCTTCTCTCTGTCCCTCCTCCATCTCAAGCTTGGTTGGTGGGAACGAGAGAGACAGACAGACAGACAGACAGACAGACAGACAGACAGACAGAGAGATCCTTCTTGATGGCAAATGCTCATCGATTCTGGAACTCCCTTCCCAGGAAAGTCAGAATGGCCCCCTCCCTGCTGTCCTTGCGGCTGGTGTCAGGCTAAAACCTTCTTATACAGACAAGTGTTTAAAGATGAAGGTGTTTAAGATCTAGTCAGGGGAATGCTGTGGTTTTTAACTGTTTTGATGGATTTTAACTGAATTTTTAAATGTTACTTGTGTTTAATTCTATTTTAATGTTTGCTTTTTTGTATATTTTAAATAACATAGTAATGCTTTCATGTCAAAGTGTTTTGAGTGCCCTTTGGGGAAATAAAGTGGGGTATAAATAAATATAAAGTTAATAGTAATAGTAGTAGTGGTATTATTATTATTATTATTAATAATAATAATAATAATAATAATAATAATACAACAGCCAGCAGAGTGACATTGTTTGCTGTGTGCTTTTTGTGTTTCAAATAACAACAACAACAACAACTCCTCTTGCCATCTTGGCTGCAAGAATGGTCTTCATTCTGCCTTAATAGCATTGACAGCAAAGCATGATGTCTTTTTGCTTCCCCAGGAGGCTTCGCTGCACCCGGAACTACATCCACGCAAATCTTTTTGCTTCCTTTGGGCTCCGGGCCCTTTCCGTGATTGTGAAGGATGCGCTGCTGAAGAAGTTGTGGGAGAGGGAGGTTTTCCAGGTGTCTGAATGGGAGACCTTCTTGAGCCACGAGGCAAGTATGGCGCATATAGGCTGTTCCAAAGAAATGGAGAAATACACTCTTAGGAGTAGATTTTATTAATTTTATTTATTTACCATACTTGTATCCTGCCTTTCTTAACCTCAAAGGAAGGGCAGTCTTACAAAGGCAACAATTCAATGCCTGATGCACACATACATCAATGAATAAACAAAACATTTAAACCAATCAATTAAAACCTACTTCATCTCACTAGAGAAGGAATCCACTTTAAAGCCAGTTTCTGCCTCCTGCAAAATTCTGGGGTTTGTAGTTTCATGAGGTTGTTAAAGGCTCCTCTCTAAACGACAAACTCCAGAATTCAGCAGGAGGCAGCAACCGGATTTAAAGTGGATTCATTCTCTAGTGTGATGAAGTAAAAAACACATAATCCAGATCATATTCCAGGGCCAGTCTGGGTTGTCGGTAAATTATTTCATAGTCTCTTATTACACTGCTCCCATTATTGACCAAAAGCCTGATCCCAAGGCCATATTTTTAGGTTTTTTTGAAGGCCAGGAGGGAGGGGTGATCTAATTTCACTGGATAGGGAGTTCCATAGATGAGGGACCACCACTGAGAAGATTCCTTTCATAGAATCAAAGAATAGAGTCGGAGGAGAGCACATGGGCCATCCAGTCCAACCTCCTTTTTTCATAAAGGAAAAGCACAATCAGCCTCCCCATCCCCCTGGGCAGATGGATATCCAGCCTCTGTTTAAAAGCTTCCAAGCAAGGAGCTTCCACCACACTCTGAGGCAGTGAGTTCCACTGTTGAACATCTCGTAGAGTCAGGAAGTTCAGGTGGAGTTTCCTTTCCTGTAATTTGAACCCATGGCTTCGAGTCCTAGTTTCTAGGGCGGCAGAAAACAAGCCTGCTCCCTCTTCTTTATGACACCCTTTCACATATTGATACATGGCTTTCATGTATCCTCTCAACCTTCTCTTCTGGAGCTAGACAAACCCAGTTCTTTAAGACGCTCCTCAGAGGGATTATTCATGGTCTCCAGACCTATGATCCTTTTAGTCACCCTCCTTTGGACACTTTCCAGCTTAGAGTCAGTATCTCTTTTAAACTGCTTTGCCTAGAATTGGATGCAATGTTATTCCAGGTGAAGAGGTCTGACCAAAGCAGAAGAGACAGGTACCATGACTTCCTTTGATCTGGACATGAGACTCCTTTAAATGCAGCCCAAAATCCCATTGGCAGGGAACAGCTAATAGTTTAATAAAATGGTACGTTATATAAAATGGCAAAATCAGGGTTGGCTTTTTGGAATTTTCTTTGGGGAATATTTTCCAGCCGTGATGGTGGGATCCTTTGAAATTGAGATTCAACTGTCCTGATGATTTCTGCCTCTCTTCATGTCTTAGGCAGGTTAGGTGACTGGCCTTCAGTACTCAGCCCATCAAGAGCGATTCCTCTCATCTCCTTCTTTGTTTGGTTCTTTCTTTGCAGGCTGCGATTGGTTGCCGCGTGGCCCAAGTGATGATGCAATACTGTATTTTGGCCAACCACTACTGGTTCCTGGTAGAGGCCGTCTACCTGTACAAGCTTCTGATTGGAGCTGTGTTTTCGGAAAATAACTACTACACCCTTTACCTCTACCTGGGTTGGGGTGAGTTGGAAATGGTTGCTTGTCCAAAATGAGATAAAAACTGTGGAACACACTTTCCTCTCTAACCCACCCCTCTACTTATATGTCTTCAAGTCAATTTAATGGGGACCCGTGGATTTCATAGGATTTTCTTAGGCAAGACATTCTCAGTTAGTGTTTTGCCTGCTTCTTCCTATGCAATGTAACATACAGCACCAAGTAAGATTCACTGGCAGTCACCAGGAACCCCCGGTGAAGCAATGGGTTAAACTCTTGCACCGGCACGACGGATGACCGACAGGTCACAGATTCGAATCTGGGGAGACTGAGTTGAGCTCCTTTTGTCAGCTCCAGCTCCCCATGCGGGGACATGAGAGAAGCATCCACAAGGATGGTAAAACGTCAAAACATCCAGGCATCCCCTTGGTAACATCCTTGCAGATGGCCAATTCTCTCACACCAGAAGCAACTTGCAGTTTCTCAAGTAGCTCCTGACACCCACACACGCAAACAAACTGGCAGTCACCCATCCAAATAACCAGGGCTGACCCTGCCTACAGTAATACTAGGGAGCCTTCCTCCCCCCCCCCCCAGAGGTTTGTTGTTCCACAGCAAAAAGTCAACTGGAGCCTGAGCTGGTGCCCTTTGAAATGCATGGCACAACAGGCACCCAACTGGCACTTGGCATTAACACTGGCTTCATTCTGGCACAAAGGGAAAACAAGGCTTTTGAATTAAAGCTGATGGGGCTGAATGGATTGATTCTCAATGGGGGCGGATTTAAATTTTGAACTTTTCTAGAGTTGCTTTGATGTGTGTGTTTGTTTGTTTGAGGAAGCTTTTCACTGTATTGTTTTAAATTTTAAATGGTTTCAAAACAGTCCAGTTGGTTTTTTAGATCTCAAGAGATAAGGTAAAATATAAATACTGTAGGTTAAAAAGGGAGGGTGGAGCCGCCGGTGACACAGTGGGTTGAACCATTGAGCTGCTAAACTTGTTGACCGAAAGGTCGCAGGTTCATATCCGGGGAGCGGTGTGAGCTTCCACTGTCAGCCCTAGCTTCTGCCAACCTAGCACTTCAAAAACATGCAAATGTGAGTAGATCAATAGGAACCAATCAGGCAGGAAGGTAACGGTGCTCCATGCAGTCCTGCCAGCCACATGGCCTTGGAGGTGTCTATGGCTCTTCGGCTTAGAAATGGAGATGAACACCAACCCCCAGAGTCGCACACGACTGGACTTAATGTCAGGGGAAAACCTTTACCTTAACCTTTACCTAAAAAGGGAGGAAAGGAAGGGTGTCTCTGGCACTTCTCTCCAGCCAGGTGCCAGCTTTGACCTAAAGAGCAATGACAGATGTACAGGTATGAAGGAATGATGGAAAGAAAGAAAGAAAGAAAGAAAGAAAGAAAGAAAGAAAGAAGGAAGGAAGGAAGGAAGGAAGGAAGGAAGGAAGGAAGGAAGGAAAGAAGGGGCAAGCACTTCTGGGAAATTCCCAATTCTTGGTTTTGTTGCTTTGTTGACTGGGGTGGTTTTCAGGAAGGTTCTGTCAATAACGGAACTGGAGGAAGTTATCTTGCTTCATGATGGGAAGAGATATTTGGTTTGCAATTTTTTAAAGAATACACAATGTCTTTCAGGGACCCCTGTGGCCTTTGTGGTGCCGTGGATGGCTGCCAAGTATCTGAAGGAGAACACAGAGTGAGTGAAATGCGCCTGGGTGAGAACCTCTTAGATCAGAATGGGGAACCTCGAGGTCTTCTGGGCATTGGTCATGTCTTCAGATCCTTCCAATATCTCACAGATGAAAGCTGGGACAAATGTGTCCAAGCCACATCAGTGTGTGATCAGAATGTCAAAAGTTAAGAACGTATGTTAGGAATCATAGAATCATAGAGCTGGAAAAGACCTCGTGACCATCCAGTCCAACCCCCTGCCAAGAAGCAGGAAAATCACGTTCAAAGCATCCCCAACAGATGGCCATCCAGCCTCTGTTTAAAAGCCTGCAAAGAAGGAGCCTCCTCCACACTCCGGGGCAGAGAGTTCCACTGCTGAACAGCTCTCACAGTCAGGAAGTTCTTCCTAATATTCAGGTGGAATCTCCTTTCCTGTAGTTTGAAGCCATTGTTCCATGTCATAGTCTCCAGGGCAGCAGAAAACAAGCTTGTTTCCTCCTCCCTATTATTTCCCCTAACATATTTATACATAGCTATCATGTCTCCTCTCAATCTTCTCTTCTGCAGGCTAAACATGCCCAGCTCTTTAAGCCACTCCTCATAGGGCTTGTTCTCCAGACCCTTGATCAGTTTTGTCGCATTCCTCTGGACACATTTGCGGGAGACAGTTTGCATTTACCTGAGTTTCCTGGGAAGGACATATCCTCTTTTCCTGCTAAGTTAACTGAGAGTAAATTACTTTGGTGCTCTGAACTCAGTTTACAGCAACTGAAGTAAGCTGAAGACAAAGGAGGGAAGAGGAAGAGAGACATATTGCAATATATTAAAAGCAGTTGAACAATGAGATGACAGAGGACAAATCAGGACTGTATACAGTGATATAACTACTAGTGGGTGCACTGCAGTCCAAAAACGTGGGACCATGGTTGTTTGCAAAGATGAAAGGGAAAAAGAGAAAACCAAGAGGCTATGCAACCTAACAAGGCTGCTCTCAAAAATCACACAGAAATTGGTGCTCACTCCAGTAATGGTGTGGTTTTTATTGTGCATAGGTGCTGGGGAGAGAATGAGAACATGGCCTACTGGTGGATTATTCGCATCCCAATTTTGCTTGCCTCTATGGTAAGTAACTTTCCTTGTTATGCTTTCTCTCCCACTCCAACTCCTTCCAGCTTTAAAAAAAATTCTTTTGAATATCTTCCCTCCATTCATGCCATCTTGATTACGCTCTCTTCCTTTTCTCCTGCCTTACATTTATTTTATGTATTGTCGAAGGCTTTCATGGCCGGAATCACTGGGTTTTTGTAGGTTTTTCAGGCCATATGGCCATGTTCTAAAAGCATTCTCTCCTGACGTTTCACCTGCCTGATTCAGGCGAAACGTCAGGAGAGAATGCTTCTAGAACATGGCCATACAGCCCGAAAAACCTACAATAACACATGCATTTTATGTGCACAAAGGAAACTGACCATGAAACTAAGTAATAAACAGTTTATCTATATAGACATAGTGGAGCAGAAATGACTCACCACACAGGAATGGCAGAATTTATTTATTATTTATTTATTTATTTACTGCACTTGTAGACCGCCGTTCTCAGCCCTAGGGCGACTCACGGCGGTGTACAACATATAAAAAACAATTTACAATAAAGGCAATATCACAAACAACAATAACAACATCACTATCAATAATACAATTACACTAAATCATTCGCGACGTCTCATCATAGAATCACAATCCAATCTCGTTATCCATATTCCGTTCCAATCATCATTGCCAATTGTTGTAGCACTTAGTCAAACGCCTTCTCAAACAACCACGTCTTTAGTCTCTTGCGGAATGTCATAAGGGAGGGCGCCTGTCTGATGTCTACAGGGAGGGCGTTCCACAGCCGGGGGGCCACCACCGAGAAGGCCCTATCCCTCGTCCCCGCCAGGCGTGCCTGTGAGGCAGGCGGGATCGAGAGAAGGGCCTCCCCAGACGATCTCAAAGTCCTCGTGGGCTCATAGGCCGAGATGCGGTCAGACAGGTATTTTGGGCCGGAACCGTTTAGGGCTTTGTAGGCCAACACCAGCACCTTGAATTGGGCCCGGTAGCAGATCGGCAGCCAGTGGAGCTGGAACAACAAGGGCGTTGTGTGCTCCCTGCGTCCCGCTCCTGTTAGTAACATGGCTGCCGCGCGCTGGACTAGCTGGAGCTTCCGGGCCGTCTTCAAGGGCAGCCCCACGTAGAGAGCGTTGCAGTAGTCCAAACGGGATGTAACCAGAGCGTGTACTACCGTGGCCAAGTCAGACTTCCCAAGGTACGGGCGCAGCTGGCGCACGAGCCTGAGCTGTGCAAATGCTCCCCTGGTCACCGCTGAAACCTGGGGATCCAGGCTCAACGATGAATCCAGGATCACACCCAAGCTGTGAACCTGCGCCTTCAAGGGGAGTGCGACCCCATCCAGCACAGGCTGTAACCCTATACCCTGTTCGGCCTTGCGACTGACCAGGAGTACCTCTGTCTTGTCTGGATTCAATTTCAATTTGTTCGCCCTCATCCAGACCATTACAGCGGCCAGGCACCAGTTCAGGACCTCGACAGCCTCCTTAGTAGCAGGTGGGAAGGAGTGACAGAGTTGGACATCATCTGCGTACAGATGACACCGCACCCCGAAACTCCGGATGATCTCACCCAGCGGCTTCATGTAGATATTAAACAGCATGGGGGACAGTATAGAGCCCTGTGGAACCCCACAAGTCAAAGGCTGTGGCGTTGAACAGGTGTCCCCCAATAACACCTTCTGAAATGACCGGAGCCACTGCAGAACAGTGCCCCCGAGGCCCATTTCCGCAAGACGCCCCAGAAGGATACCGTGGTCGACGGTATCGAAGGCCGCTGAGAGGTCCAGGAGCACCAACAGGGACACACTCCCCCTGTCTAGCTCCCGGCGCAGATCATCCACTAAGGCGACCAAGACCGTCTCAGTTCCATGTCCCGGTCTGAAGCCAGACTGTGCCGAATCCAGATAATCCGTGTCTCTCAAGAATACCTGGAGTTGTGAGGCCACCACGCTTTCCATGACTTTGCCCAAAAAGGGGAGATTGGAAACAGGCCGAAAGTTGTCAAATTTAGTGGGGTCCAATGATGGTTTCTTCAACAGCGGTTTTATAATAGCTTGTTTTAAGCTCGCTGGAATTCTGCCTTCCCGAAGGGAGGCGTTAACCACCACCGTTACCCACTCAGCCAATCCCCTTCTGGTCTCCTTCAGAAGCCAGGATGGGCAGGGGTCTACGATGGACGTAGTGGGCCTCATTCCTCCAAGTATCTTGTCCACATCCTCGGGCTTCACAAATTGAAAAGAATCCATCAAAATGGGACAAGCAGGTGCTCGTGTCACATCCTCAGAGACTGCATTTAACATGGTGTCCAGACCAGAACGGATCAAAGCGACTTTGTCTGCAAAGAACCGAGCAAATGCTTCGCAGCGCGTGGCCGAATTGTCAGGGCTCCCGCCTGAGATGGCGGGAGTTAAAAGACCTCTGACAATCCGGAACAACTCCGCCGGACGGTTCCTTGCAGACGCAATATTAGCCGCAAAGAAAGTTTTCTTTGCGGCTTTTATTGCCGCGGCATATGCCCTTAGAAAGGACACAAACCGTGCTCGATTTGACTCGCTCGGATCCGAATGCCACACGCTCTCTAGTTCCCTCTTCCTTCGCTTCATCACTGCCAACTCCTCAGTAAACCAAGGAGCTGGTTTAGCTCGGCTACTTGAGAGGGGACGTTCCGGATCGATCGTGTCAATTGCCCTAGTCATCTCCCCATTCCAGAGAGCGACCAGGGCCCCGACAGGATCACCTACCGAGGTGGAAAATCCCCAAGAGCCGTCAGGAATCCATCCGGATCCATAAGCCTCCTGGGGCGGACCAACTTAATGGGTCCTCCACCTTTGCAGAGGTTGGGGGGCGCAGTGAGCCTAAATCTAACCAGGAAATGGTCGGTCCATGGCAGCGAAGAGATGGTCAACTCCTCAATACCGCCACCTTGCTCCCATCCCTGGCAGAAAACCAAGTCCAATGTATGTCCAGCACAGTGGGTGGGGCCAGATATTTGTTGGGACAGCCCCATGGTTGCCATGGCAGACATGAAGTCCTGAGCCGCTCCTGTGAGGGTCGCCTCGGCATGGATATTGAAGTCTCCCAGCACCAGAAGCCGTTGAGACTCCAACGCCAGGCTCGAGACCACCCCCGCTAGCTCAGGTAGGGATACTGTAGTGCAGCGAGGTGGACGGTACACTAACAGAATCCCTATTCTGTCCCGGTCACCCACCCTCAGGTGGACGCATTCAAAATTTGTTGACTGTGGGATGGGACTCCTGGTCAGATGGATGGAATCCCTATAGACCACTGCGACCCCGCCTCCCCGCCCCCCGGATCTCGGTTGATGCTGCACGGAGAACCCTGGAGGACAAAGCTGAGTTAAATTCACACCTCCAGCTTCATCCAACCAGGTCTCCGTGATGCACGCCAGATCTGCCCGCTCATCCAGGATTAAGTCCTGGATAAAGGTCGTTTTTCCGTTGACAGATCTGGCGTTCAACAGCCAGAGAATTGCATCTCTTTGAACAGGTGGAACCTATTATATAGGGCTTCTTTGGCAACCCTCTTTTTGAAGTTTGTTAACTACTTGATAGCTCAATTAACCGTGTATTCCATTTGCTCTCCTTCCCAGATCAACCTGTTGATCTTCATGCAGATCCTGAAGGTGATCCTGGGCAAGTTACGAGCCAATCAGAAGGGTTATGCGGACTATAAACTGCGGTGAGTTTGATGCCCACAAGGAGATCTGCTTGTTAGGCTTTTGCCAAGGAGAAGTGTGCCATGACCGTCTCCTGTTCTGTGTTTTCCCTTCCAGGTTAGCCAAAGCCACCCTCACGCTTGTCCCTCTCTTTGGGATCCACGAGGTGGTCTTCATCTTTGCCACAGATGAACAAACCACAGGAGTTCTGCGTTACATCAAGGTTTTCTTCACCCTCTTCCTTAACTCCTTCCAGGTAAAGTCTGGCTCAGGCCTTGAATAATTATAATATACTTTGTTTATATTCCACTGTATCTCCCCAAGGGGACTCAGAGCAGATTACAGAATACATATATGGCGAACATTCAGTGTCGTTAAACCATTAACAACAAAGACAGACAGTACATAGACAGAGGCAAAGGCTTCTCTCTATTTCATCTCTGGCATCTGGAGGCTGTGCTCTACTTGGCCATGGGGAGGTGCTGTTGTTCCATTTTTCCATGCCAAGGAGCCTGTTGTCTGTGGACACCTTCCTGATCGAATTTACGGCATGTCTTCAGGGGCAGCTTTTACCTTCCCACCAAAGCAGTACCTATTGATTGACTCACATTGCTATTTTTGAACGGCTAGGTAAGCAGAAGCTAGGGCTGACGGTTGGAGCTCACCCTGACCTGCTACTTTGAACTGCCAACCTTCAGGTTGGCAAGATTTTCTGTAGCATGGCAGTTTAACCCGCTGTGCCTCCACAATGGTACCAATTCTCACTTTGGCTGTGTCTACACACTTTCCCAGATATTTTTGGTTAAGCCCTCTGGATTTGCCCCAATACAGCTTGGGAGGGTCCCCAGAGTCCTTGTGGCACCCAGAAGGCTGGTCAAGTCAAGGGCAGGCACACTAGAGTTCCCACTGTGTTGCAGCTCACTTCTTGACACATGGGACGAATGCTCTGTTGTGACCTCACCAGAAGCGAGATGACCACCCATCTGCAAAGGAGGGCAATGGATCAGGTTGGATCTAGCTCAATCCAGCTCAGCACATTGCCTGGTTGCAGCATTGCTATTGTGAATCCAGCAGTACATCATGTGGTCTCCCAGAAGCAGCTAAACATTGGAGTCTACTCTATTCAGCCAGTGTAGCTTTGTACATACTTCCAACAGCTTTTTCTGACATGCATGCCAGTAGGCTGTTAGGAATTGTGGGAGTTGAAGTCCAAAACACCTGGAGGGCTAAAGTGGGTCTATGCCTGCTCTAGGAAATGATTACCACACAAGCTTTGCAAAGACATCTGTCACTTGATAATTTTTGGTGCCAATTTGGGAAGATGCAGATACAGTCATGACAACTAGGTACCAGGTTGGAGGGCAGCCTGTTGTCCAAAATAACTTCTAAATTTTGCACCCAAGACCATTTACAGGATAATCTGCAAAGGCTGTAGCTATTTTCAGGAGTAATTACAGTGGTCATTATCTAAATTTCCTGGGAAACATAATGTGTTCTCTGGATCTGACTGTTTTTCTGATTTGGCTTGTAGTTACCAAAAAGGTCATAATGTTCTTTACCGCTATGGCAGAGAACCCATTTGACAAATTAACAGTGTTCCTGGAACTGATGTTAATTATAATGAATTAGCCAACGTGTGCATTCACTTTGAATTTCTGATCTCCAATAAACTAAAACAAATTTCCCATCATGCTCAAGTGATTGTGAGGAGCAGCGAGAGGAGGGGTAACGAACTTAAGTATAATAGAACAACAACATGTCTTGCAGTATCTTAAAGGCAAAGAAGCTTCTCTGATCTTTCATGGACCACATGGTTGTTGTTGTTCATTCGTTCAGTCGTCTCCGACTCTTCGTGACCTCATGGACCAGCCCACGCCAGAGCTCCCTGTCGGCCGTTACCACCCCCAGCTCCCTCAAGGTCAGTCCAGTCACTTCAAGGATGCCATCCCTCCATCTTGCCCTTGGTCGGCCCCTCTTCCTTTTGCCTTCCACTTTCCCCAGCATAATTGTCTTCTCTAGGCTTTCTTGTCTCCTCATGATGTGACCAAAGTACTTCAACTTTGTCTCTAGTATCTTTCCCTCCAGTGAGCAGTCGGGCTTTATTTCCTGGAGGATGGACTGGTTGGATCTTCTCGCAGTCCAAGGCACTCTCAGAACTTTCCTCCAACACCACAGCTCAAAAGCATCGATCTTCCTTCGCTCAGCCTTCCCTAAGGTCCAGCTCTCACATCCGTAGGTTACTACAAGGAATACCATGGCTTTGACTAGGCGGATCTTTGTTGCCAGTCTGATGTCTCTACTCTTACTATTTTATCGAGACTGGACATTGCTCTCCTCCCAAGAAGTAAGCGTCTTCTGATTTCCTGGCTACAGTCTGCATCTGCAGTAATCTTTGCCCCTAGAAATACAAAGTCTGTCACGGCCTCCACGGTTTCTCCTTCTATTTTCCAGTTGTCAATCATTCTTGTTGCCATAATCTTGGTTTTTTTGACGTTTAGCTGCAACCCGGCTTTTGCGCTTTCTTCTTTCACCTTGATTAGAAGGCTCCTCAGCTCCTCCTCGCTTTCGGCCATCAAAGTGGTGTCATCTGCATATCTAAGGTTGTTAATGTTTCTTCCAGCAATTTTCACCCCATCCTTGCATTCATCAAGCCCCGCACATCGCATGATGTGTTCTGCATACAAGTTAAAAAGGTTGGGTGAGAGGATGCAGCCTTGCCGTACGCCTTTCCCAATCTTGAACCAGTCTCCTGTTCCGTGGTCAGTTCTGACTGTTGCTACTTGGTCCTTGTACAGATTCCTCAGGAGAGAGACAAGGTGGCTTGGGATGCCCATCCCACTAAGAACTTGCCACAATTTATTATGATCCACACAGTCAAAGGCTTTAGAATAGTCAATGAAGCAGAAGTAGATGTTTTTCTGAAACTCCCTGCCTTTCTCCATTATCCAGCGGATATTGGCAATTTGGTCTCTCGTTCCTCTACCTTTTCTAAACCCAGCTTGAACATCTGGCAACTCTCGCTCCATGTATTGCTGGAGTCTTCCTTGCAGGATCTTGAGCATTACCTTACTGGCATGAGAAATAAGGGCGACTGTACGGAAGTTTGAGCAGTCTTTCGCATTTCCCTTTTTTGGTATGGGGATATAAGTTGATTTTTTCCAGTCTGATGGCCATTCTTGTGTTTTCCATATTTGCTGGCAAATGGCATGCATCACCTTGACAGCATCATCTTTTAAGATTTTAAACCGTTCAGCTGGGATCCCGTCGTCTCCTGCTGCCTTGTTGTTAGCAATGCTTCTTAAGGCCCATTCAACCTCACTCCTCAGGATGTCTGGTTCTAATTCATTCACCACACCGTCAAAACTATCATCAATATTATTATCCTTCCTATACAGATCTTCTGTATAGTCTCGCCACCTTCTCTTGATCTCTTCAGCTTCTGTTAGGTCCCTGCCATCTTTGTTTCTTATCATACCAATTTTTGCCTGAAATTTACCTCCCATGTTTCTAATTTTCTGGAAGAGGTCTCTTGTCCTTCCTATTCTGTTGTCTTCTTCCACTTCCATGCATTGCTTATTTAAAAATAGTTCCTTATCTCTTCTGGCTAACCTCTGGAATTGCGCATTTAACTGGGCATATCTCCCCTTATCCCTGTTTCCTTTTGCTTTTCTCCTTTCTTGGGCTACTTCCAGTGTCTCAGCAGACAACCATTTTGCCTTCTTGGTTTTCTTTTTCTTTGGGACGTACTTTGTTGCCGCCTCCTGAACAATGTCTCGGACCTCTGTCCATAGTTCTTCTGGGACTCTGTTTACTAAATCTAGTCCTTCAAATCTGTTCTTCACTTCCACTGTATATTCGCTAGGAATGTTAGTGATCATATCTAACTGGTCTGTGTATTTTCCCTGATCTCTTTAGTTTTATTCTAAATTGGGCAATAAGAAGTTCGTGATCTGAGCTACAGTCAGCCCCAGGTCTTGTTTTCACCGACTGGATGGATGTCCGCCACCTTTGGCTGCAAAGGATGTAGTCAATCTGATTTCGGTGTTGACCATCTGGAGAGGTCCAGGTGTAAAGCCGTCTTTTAGGTTGTTGGAAGAGAGTATTCGTTATACACAGCGAGTTTTCCTGGCAAAATTCTATCAGCCTGCGTCCCGCTTCATTTTGTTCTCCCAGACCATGCTTGCCTGTGATCCCTGTTGTCATTTGACTTCCCGCCTTGGCATTCCAGTCTCCTGTAATGAAAATAATGTCTCTTTTTGGTGTATTATCCAGTAGGTCCTGCAGATCCTCATAGAACTGATCTACTTCTGCTTCTTCAGCAGCTGTGGTTGGGGCGTATATTTGGATCACTGTGATGTTGAAAGGCTTTCCTTGCCCTCGAATTGAGATCATTCTGTCATTTTTTGGGTTGTATCCAAGCACCGCTTTAGCGAATTTCTTATTAATTATGAAGGCTACTCCATTTCTTCGATGTTCCTCTTGTCCGCAGTAGTAGATCTGGTGGTCATCTGATGTGAAGTGGCCCATTCCAGTCCACTTCAGTTCGCTGACCCCCAGAATGTCTATCTTTAGTCTTGACATCTCGCCAATAACAACATCCAATTTGCCCTGGCTCATAGATCTTACATTCCAGGTTCCTATGGTGTGTTGATCTTTAGAGCATCGGATTCGTCGTTCACCTCCAGTACCGTCGGCCGCTAGCCTTCCTTTCGGCTTTGAGCTAGCTGCGTCATCACATCTGGGGCTAGTTGAACTTATCCTCTGCTCCTCCCCAGTAGCATTTTGGCCCTCTTCCGACCTGGGAGTCCCATCTTCCAATGGCATACCGACATATCTCTGGTTGTACTGGTCCATTTAGTTTTCTTGGCAAGGATACTGGAGTGGTTTGCCATTGCCTTCCCCAGGGATCACGCTTGGTCTGACCTCTCTGCCACAACCGTCCCGTCTTGGGTGGCCCTTCACGGTTTTGCTCATGACATCATTGAGGTGCTCAAGCTCCAGCGCCCCGACAAGGCGGTGATCCTTTGCTGGAGACCACATGGTTAGCTTTTGCCAAAACAGCCTGGTATGTCTTTTGTACAAGGGTCTTTGCTGTTTCTTCTCTGATGGATTGTGTTCCATTCAAATGGCAGGCCGTTTCTAACCAGACCTGCCATGTGGATTCAGGGACGGGGGAGAGAATTAGACAATTGTCATAGTTACAACAATGAACCCATTGAGAAGGGTACCAAGGGGGGGGGGGGATAAGACTAAGAGTTGGTTGAATAATACTGACAAGAGAGAACAGATATGCAATTACAAATGAGTGCATTGACAATAGCAAGAAAACCTGCCTGTTTATGTGAATGAGGTGCATACAAGAATAGAGCTCTTCAGTGGAAAGCGTGGAGGAAACCTTTTGCTTGAGCCCCCAGTAGCACAATGGGTTAAATCCTTGTGGTGGCAGGACTGAAGACTGACAGGTTGCAGGTTTGAATCCGGGAAGAGCGCAGATGAGCTCCTTCTGTCAGCTCTGGCTCTCCATGCAGGAACATGAGAAAAGCCTCCCACAAGAATGGTAAAACATCAAAACATCCGGGTCTCCCCTGGGCAACGTCCTTGCAGACAGCCAATTCTCTCACACCAGAAGCAACTTGCAGTTTCTCAAGTTGCTCCTCTCTCTCTCACACACACACATTTTGCTTAATTTCTCAAGGTACAAAAACAATCACATCTAGCACTCAGAGTTGCAATATTTAGTTTACTATTTATTGTGAGTGGAGTTTACGTATAATCTTAAACCTATTTTGGGCTCACGCCAGTCCAATGAGGTTAAAATGTTGTCTGTTGCTTTGGCCATGTCAGCAGTTAAACCACCATCAGAAGTCATGCTCCCTTCTCTACTATAAAGAAACAGGTTCAAACCTATCTTGTGTTTCCCTCTTGCTTACTGCAGGGTTTCCTGGTTGCCGTGCTTTACTGCTTTGCAAATAAGGAGGTATGTAATATCCAGTCACCAAACTATTTTCCTGGGAATGCAGATTGGCTCCTCTTGAACAATTTTTGAGAAACCAGGCACCTTTCCACCTTAGACATTTTGTAGGTTCTCCAGAAGGTTCTATGGCAAGTTAGAGGTGTGCTAGAAAACCTAGAGAGGAGACCTTTCTTGGAGTCTCTAAGTCTCCAACATTGCCTCAATGGTATGTTGGGACAGGGAGTGGGGTAATTTAATGGTATTCGGTCATCTCCGTGGTTGCATGTAACAGCAAAGTGTCCTATGGATATAGGAGCCCCCGGTGGCGCAGTGGGTTAAACCCCTGTGCCAGCAGGACTGAAGACCGACAGGTCGCAGGTTCGAATCCAGGGAGAGGCGGATGAGCTCCTTCTATCAGCTCCAGCTCCTCATGTGGGGACATGAGAGAAGCATCCCACAAGGATGATAAAAACATCAAATCATCCAGGTGTCCCCGGGCAACGTCCTTGCAGACGGCCAATTCTCTCACATCAGAAGTGACTTGCAGTTCCTCAAATCGCTCCTGACATGACAAAAAACCAAACAAAAACAAAAACTGTACATTGCATTGATGAAGCTGGTAAAGCCTGGTGGCTGCAAGGACAACCAATATAATGGCAACCTATAGCCCAAATCTTACTTTTAGCTGGCATTAAAGCAAGGCACACACAGTTTCCCACACTGTCCCCTATCCACAGTTGGGAGAGTATCAGTTTACATCCCACAGTTATTGCTAGGAGTACAAACTGGTTAATTAAAAAAAAATTCCATGTCAGGAGCAACTTAAGAAACTGCAAGTTGCTTCTGGTGTGAGAGAATTGATGAATCTTTGAGTGGCCAATGGGGTTTCTGGCACTCTCAGTGCCATTCACCTGCAACTGCTTGTTTGCATTCTGTAGGATCTAGAACTAACATGGTGCCACTGTCCACTTTCATCCAGGTAAAGTTTGAAATGAAGAAAAAATGGCAACTCTGGAAACTGGACCACTCAGCTCTCTGTTGTACCCAGTGAGGATGAAGGAGGGAAATACTGCAGAACAGTTCTGGAATCTATGCATCCTCTGTCAAGGCTCCCATGGCACAGCAGCTGATTCTCTGCTCCATAATGGACTGCTCTGGGTAGACAAGGGGTTGCCTTGAAATAATCATCAACAGTGGCTACAGTCACAGCTCCATTGGAAGAAAGAGGAATGGACGTGACCGTTGCTACTTCTGCCACTATGAGAAAGATACTACTGGGCTGAGCCTCAGAACGATGCAGTCCAGCTTCAGGAACGATGGAGGGCTTGCCTTAACCTCTGGAATACACTGATGGAGCTCTATGGGCCCATGTGTGCCATATACCCGCAGGTATGGTTCTAACGCATAAAGGGGTCTTAACAGTGTCCTCTGCCAGCTGGCCCCATGAGAGAGCAGCTGCCATTGATAAGCACACCTCTTATATAATTGGCATTAAAAAAAAACAAACCAGAATCTGCTTCTAGAATCATGGCGAATTCTGGGCCAAGATCAAGGTATGCAGGCTGAATCAAAGAAGAGAACCTTCTTAGCTCTGCTTCTGGAAACTGAAGCACATAAGAGGCAATGAGGTAAGATGGTTTTGCCCTCAACTGCAAACCAGGCCCCGAAAACTGACACAGGGACCCCAGAATACTCCCCCTAACAGTAAATCTCAGTGTGAATCCCCAAAGTGGGAGAACCCAGGACTCTTCTCGGACATGCAGCATTCTGCAACCACAGCCACTGCTCAGTGAAAAGGGGAAAGGTTCTGACACATCACTTCCTCAGTTGCACCTAACTAAGTAGTGTGATACATCCTTTGCATTGTAAACAACTGGCATTACTTTATTTCACAGTGGCTCTAAAGCACAAGTTATTCCTGCTCTGTGGCAGGTGATAAAATAAAGACCTCTTCTTCCTATCTTATCCAAGCCACATGCCCATAGGATGCCATGAGAGACTATCAAGGCTGCCTCAATGTTGCAAGGCACTGTTGTGATTGACAGTTCTAATTGGCATCAGGCCTCCTTTTATTTTATATTGAATGGGGAAACTTATGGTACAGGGACAAAAATATAGAGAATGTGGCTCTATATGAACATGTCCACATTGGAACAATACTAGAAGGGGCAGGTGGCCATACAGGAGAAGAACCGTACGTTCATGTTATATTATAAAATGTAAATAAAAACTTTCTAGCAGGAAAATGCTCCTTTGGTGGTGGTAAGGGAATGGTTGGGAATGGCATAGCAAGGATCTGTGTGGCTCTGGTAGTCCATGAAGCTCAAATGTGTAGTTTACATGATGGTGAGGAATCTCTTCCAATACAACAGAGATAAAAGAACTGGGGGGTTGTAGGTTTTTTCGGGCTATATGGCCATGGTCTAGAGGCATTTTCTCTGACGTTTCGCCTGCATCTATGGCAAGCATCCTCAGAGGTAGTGAGGTCTGTTGGAAGTAGGAAAAAGGGGTTTTATATCTGTGGAATGACCAGGGTGGGACAAAGAACTTTTTGTCTGCTGGAGCTAGGTGTGAATGTTTCAAGTGACCACCTTGATTTTTTTTTTGTTGAGAGGTGATTTGATGTGCCTGATTGTTTACTCTCTGTTGTTTTGCTGTTGTAATTTTTGAGTTTTTTTAATACTGGTAGCCAGATTTTGTTCATTTTCATGGTTTCTTCCTTTCTGTTGAAATTGTCCACATGCTTGTGGATTTCAATGGCTTCTCTGTGTATTCTAACATGGTGGTCAGACTACAAATCACCTCTCAACAAAAAAAATTCCCCTAGGCACTTCCAAGCCATAAAAATGCTAATCAAGGAGGTCATTTGAAACATTCACACCTAGCTCTAGCAGACAAAAAGTCCTTTGTCCCACCCTGGTCATTCCACAGATATAAAAACCCCTTTTCCTACTTCCAACAGACCTCACTATCTCTGAGGATGCTTGCCATAGATGCAGGCGAAACATCAGGAGAAAATGCCTCTAGACCATGGCCATATAGCCCGAAAAAACCTACAACAACCCAGTGATCCTGGCCATGAAAGCCTTCGACAAACAGATAAAAGAACTGTTTGGAGGGAGGTAGACAGGAGAAGACAGCTATTCTCGGGTAGAAGATCAGCACTTTGAACCTGCTTTGAGGCTTCTCCTTAATCTACAGTGTCTTTTGAGGCACCGTAAACACAACAGAGTAGAACGGCGAAGGTAGCCCTTACATCTACTAAGACATTACTTGAAAGTTGGAGCCACTGGTGGCGTAATGGGTTAAACCCTTGTGTTGGCAGGATTCCTGACCTACAGGCCAGTGGTTCGAATCCAGGGAGTGTGTGTTGAGCTCTCTCTGTTAGCTCTAGCCCCCCATGCAGGATGGTAAAAACATAAAACAGCTGGGCGCCCCCTGGGCAACGTCCTTGCAGACGGCCAATTCTCTCAAACCAGAAGCAACTTGCAATTCCTCAAGTTGCTTCTGACACACACACACAAACCTGAAGGTTTTATGTGAACAAAGAAAGTTGAAAGTGCTCCACAAATTTAGCAGGGAGCCATCACAACTAACATAGGACTGGAGAGGGCCATCAAAATGGAAACCAATGAAGACATCATTCTTACATTATAAGCTATAATATGGCTGCTCTGTTTTTGTTCACATTGTGTCTGAAGGAAAGGGAGCTCACAATGTGTACTTCTTTCTCAAACTACCATAGTAACATAGTGCATAACTTGGTGATGCTGTGAATATGTGGACCAGAACTGCGTGTTGGCTGACGGCAGAATGTCAAGCGCTAAAGCATTTCTGTACACATGCAATGTACATATGAGCCACAAATAGTCAGATCTGAATCAAACAAGTTATGAGTCAAGGTGGTTTATTCACAAAGCAAAACACATTAAAATCTGGTCACGAAAGGTAATGGGTTCGCAGCAACAAAGGGGAAATGTCTCCCTACAGCCCAGTGTTCAGCAGCAGGAACCATGTGCAGGTAAGCCACTTTGTCTACAAACACCCCAAAGCAGAGGAAACAGCCCTTAGAGGGGAGTGTTAAGATCACCTGCTCCAGCAAAACTTTGGGTTGGACATGTAGACGTATCTGCCTTCCTCGACCTGAGCTTCTCCACATATCTTACACTATGACCGTTGCCACCAACACTAGCCAGCTTGACAATGATGTGTGTAGTAGTTCCAGGATCTGCTACAGCACCATGGGCTTTAAAATAACCCAGGTTTTCTCTTTAAAAACATTAATAGAAGTTTATAAAAATGATCACATCTTTTTTCAAACAAACAAACACAATCTGCAAATAAAGAAGTGGTCCTTTGTCTGAGCTTTCCAAGGATTGAATGTTCCCATGTTTTTTTTTAAAAAAGCACAGTTCTCTAGACTTTAAAAACTAGTCGATGTAGAACCTTGGTCCCAATGATTAACAGAGTTTTCACCCTAATCTCCAGAAATTTTAAATCTCAACTCAGAGAGGGGTAAAAACAAAACATTCAGAGGTCATCAAGTGCAAGAGGCTGATACAACAAACAGAAAAACGATCTTTCCCATGGAGGGACATTCAGTCCTTCATTTTCCAATGGGAAGCAATGCAATTCAGCCCCAAGCTTATTTTATTTTCTATTTGAAATATTCATATCCTATCTTGACATCTATAAGGTAAGATACCTATTAATCACAAGGAGGGATATTTCACAAAATGCAATTTACAACCACACAATGTTTGAAGTATGTGATCATATCTTTGAGAATCTAGGCTTAACATGTGCAATACAAAGGAAGAGGCTTTGCAACCTTCTCACTTCAAGCCAAAAAAAAAAGACAATTTAAATTTTACAAGGCATAACACCCTCTCAGCTGGATAGGCCACACAGACTTTCAACTCTAGGTCCCAGAAATCAGTTTGTACCTCCAGGTTTGCATTCAGAAATGTTCAGGAGGTCTCGCGTCTTCCATGCCTTATGATAATGATCTCATAAGAACAAAAGCAGACTGACACCTTTGATTGGTGGAGCTCGCTGTCCTGGCAGAGAAACGTGACAGCTAACCCACTGGTAGCATAAGGAAAGGCAGTAAGATGGAGAACAATTCTATATCTCTGTGGATATCACAGCTTGCGAGGATGATGACCCAAGTTGTCTGCCAGAAGACTCCCTTCTGCAAGCCCTACGAGGCCCCTGCTAAATACAGTGCATTAACTGAAGGATCACTGAGACATAATAGACAAAAGGGACAGGAATCCTAAGATAAAGTGATGTGAATCAGAAGGGATATTGCCTGCTTTTGTTGGTGAATGAGTTTTTGTGAACAACCTCCATAGCTTCCCTCCATAATCGGTTGTATTGCTCACTGAAGCTGAACATTCACCTCCAACACATCTGGAAAAGACCACAAGGAAGTCCCCGGATTCCTGTAATCTCCAGGCCAACTGCTTCTCTAACAAATGAAATCAAAAGGGATAAAGTCCCTAAGCCCAAGTCTCCACAGTTACAATCTTTCCTCATACTGACACAAGGAAAGATGTGGGATCTGATGCTGAAACAGGAAGCACCTGGTTGATTCCCAATAAAGGCCAGACACCTTCCATGGCAAGAAGGAGATGCTATCATCAAGTTGCCTGTGTTGAACCTCTGCACTTTAAGACACTACTTTGTTCCAAACTCTCCTGGCTTTGGAGCCAAATGCAGATCCACGCTCTGCATCTCAGCATCACCCAGCGTCTTCAGCCCCCGTTTGATACACCGGCACACCTGAGTTCCCCAGGACAGGGGCGGATTGCTCTCGTGGCAGACAGCCCACGGTGTCAGTCGGTCTCTCGCACTCTCACACGCTCCCAGGCTAAACACAGCTTCCGGGTGGAAAAATCACCCAACGTCAGACGACTGCAAAAAAGACAATGGAGGGAAATGCTCACTTACATTCTGACAGTGTACAGCAGGCAGGCATGGGTCAACTTTGGCCCTCCCTTCAACCCCAACAATTCCTAACAGCTGGACAGAAGGTTCTTTCTGAGGGAGTGTTCCACATAGGTGCCACCATGAAGCAGGATGTCTTTTGCAGCCACCTGCTTTTCATTATTTCGGTGGTTGCTCCTGACTTGTAACCTTATGAGTTCTGAGTGGTTTTCAGTTGACTGTCCCGGAGGAGAAAGGGGCAATGAGGCTGGTGCAAGCAGAAATGCAGTTCACCACAGATATCTTTACAAGGTAAGCAAACAATAAGAAGAGTCCATCTGAACATGAGGAAGAACTTCCTGACTGTGAGCGCCGTTCAGCAGTGGAACTCTCTGCCTTGGGGTGTGGTGGAGGCTCCCTCTTTGGAAGCTTTTAAACAGAGGCTGGATGGCCATCTGTCAGGGGTGATTTGAATGCAATATTCCTGCTTCTTGGCAGGGGGTTGGACTGGATGGCCCATGAGGTCTCTTCTAATTCTATGATTCTATGATAACAAAACACTCTGTAACTACAAAGTTCTACTGGTCATTTATATAAAGGATAAAAGGACCTTTTTAGACCAAATCAAGGTTCCAACTAGCTGAAGACTGTGTTCCCTAGAACGATAAAGAAAATATCCTGCAGGAAAGTTCCATGTGGGGGATGAAGGCACAATCCTTTCCAGCAGTGTCACTAATTAACAATTGGTAACAACCTCCTCTTCTGATTTGGAAGCCACTGACTTGGTTCAATCCAAATTGAAAGGTCAAAGCTGCTTAGGCCAACAGCCATGTGATTATATCGACTTGCCCCTGAAGAAGTATGCTTCCTCTTCACCTAAACATTGACCAGTGGTCCTGCTGGATGGGGTGGGTGCAATGTTAGAGTCAAAGCTTCCCTACCCCAGAACAGAAGCTGAGTGCCAGGCAGAAAGTAGCAACTACAAATCCCTATACCGTAAGCAACATTGTTCCACCTCACTCTGGCGGTTGGCAGTCTTCCACTCACCCTTCCTCCACTGCTAGGGCTGCTTCTGGGTCGACTTGCCTTTATCAGGACTTTGTAGCCTCTCGAGATTTAGGTTGACAGAATGAAGAATTTTTCCTAGAGACACAAACAAACTTCATCTCAGAGATGTCAAATTTGCAAGATCTGCATTCTTCGGCTTTCAAAAACCCACTAACTAGAGTCAAATTGTAAAATATTGGCTCAAGTGGGCAGACCAAATGCTACAGACTAAGGAAAAGGTGCCTCTGATCACATGCTGAAACCTACGGACTGACTATCGATACCAGAATGAAGCTTTCACACAAATCTACATTCAAACTTGCCCTAGCATTTTAGTGACACATGGGTAGCGTTACACAATAACTGCTGATATTGTTTGACAACTGGGAGTCACGGAATCACTTCTAGTGGTAGTGTAGATCCTGATCTGTCTTTTCTGCTTCCCTGAGTTATATCACATACATGTATATACTTGAGCATAAGCTGAGGCACCTAATTTTACCACAAAAAAACTGGGAAAACATATTGACTCGAGTATAAGCTGAGGGTGGGAAATGTTGCAGCTACTGGTAAATTTCAAAATAAAAATAGATACCAACAAAATTACATTGAGGCACCAATAGGTTAATTGTTTTTGAATATTTACATAAAACTGTAATTTAAGATAAGACTTCAACTCTGATTAAACCATTATTCTGACCTTCTTCAGTGTAAATGTGCTTACATATCCTTCCAATAACAATAAAGAGAGTAAAATAATAGAAGTAATATTAATAATAGAGCAAATGTAAATGTAATAATAGAGATAATAAATGTAATAATTATAATAATGAGAATAAAATAATAAATGTAATAAAAATAAAAACCAAGTAAAATAATATATAATTTTGACTCGAGTATAAGATGAGAGGGGCTTTTTCAGCCTTAAAAAAGGGCTGAAAAACTGGAGTATATACGGTAACTACAACAATCTCTAAAGCAGTGGTTCTCAACCTGTGGGTCTTCAGGTGTTTTCGTCTACAACTCCCAGAAATCCCAGCCAATTCACCAGCTGTTAGAATTTCTGGGAGTTGAAGGCCAAAACACCCAGGGACCCACAGGCTGAGAATCATTGCTCTAAAGCTTTGTTTTTTGGACAAAAGAGATGAGAGACTTCATCTTACCCATTTCTCCCACACAGTCCTCCAAGAGAGCTGACAGGTCTGGTAGATTGAGAGCTTTCAAGGTGGGAAGCCATTCTTCTGACCCTACAGCAAAGAAAGTACTGGTTAAAAGAATCAGGGCCTTTTTGCCACTCGCCAATCAGCCTTGATTGTGCCAAATATTAGGCAAAATGGCAGGAGTAAAAAGCAATGAAAGGTTACCAGACAATAAAGTGAAAGATTATCAATTAATCAGCAAAACCAGGCTTTCAACTGACCTCTACAACTATGAAAGCGATATTAAGTAAACGGGCAACTAATTTACTTGCAAAGAAGAGAAGCAGCAAATTGCTCTGTATTTTTCACATGGACAAGTAACAAACTAAGGAAAATATTTCAACATGAGAAAGAGTTGGGCTCAAAAGGAAGCATGTGCCCTGAAAACAATATCTTTGCTCCTTCTCAGTTCCTTGAATAGAGTGCTTCCCCCTTGCAACTTGAAGGATTCTTAGGGGACAAATAGAGCTTGGGCTAAAGAATGTTCCAAGGACTAGGAAAAAAGCGGGCAAGATGCTGGAAATGTGAAAGAGAAAGGGTAAGTCTAATGAGGCTTAATTAGATAGTTCTATTCAGGGCATTATCACTTATGCAAGGGACATAAAACAAGACCGCCAACTAATCTTCTGTCTGGTCAAGTCAATGCTGCCTTTAGACTGGAAAAAAACATTCATTCACAAACAGAGAGGTTGACATTTGCTGCTATCAGTGTCAAGAGGCAAATGCCCAACATAGAAAAACAGAACAGTTTGCCTCAATTCTGTCAACTCACAGCAGGCTAGGAAACTTTATTGCAAGCTAAAAGCTCTTGTGGATTTGTTCATAAGATTAAATGAGCTTTTGCTTTCAGTTCCCTAGTAGGCAGATCACGTGGGCTATCTAATTTCTCCATGTTCATATTTGTTACTCCCAACAGTAAAAATGTAATAACGTTTCCCATTGGGCTGCATTTTCACTGAGGCTTGGTTTGCAGACCTCCAATTTGGCATTTATTAGCTCTTCTGACTTACCAGCTCCCAGGCGCCCTTTAGTCTCCAAAGATCGGCCAGCAATATGGTCCTGATTCATTCGGGAAGACATTTCAGCCTGACAAACCCTACCAGAAGGGGAAAAAAATCACCAAAATTCTATGAAAAGTGATTAAACTGCACACAGACATGCCATGTAAGTAAAATAGAGTCTTGCTTATCCAACATAAAAGGGGCCGGCAGAACACTGGATAAGCAAAAATGTTGGATAATAAGGAAGGATTAAGGAAAAGCTTATTAAACGTCAAATTACATTATGATTTTACAAATTAAGCACCAAAACATCATGTTTTACAACAAATCAACAGAAAAAGCAGTTCAATACACGGTAACGTTATGTAGTAATTACGGTATTTACAAATTTAGTACCAAAACATTGCAGTGTATTGAAACAGCTGTGGATCTGGGTGGGAGGCAGACAGAACGTTGGTTGAGCAATGGTTGGATAGGTGAGATTCTACTGTATCATAAAGCATGATAATACAATCTTGGGAGCTATAACCCTTACTAAAATAAGGAATTGGGGCTGCACACCTTAACCGAGAACAAGTGGTAACACCAGAAATGAATATAAAAGAGGAAGGTTATGACTTAAAAGTTTTTCCCTCCTAACTGCAGGATGTGTATGTTTAAAAAAATTCTGCACCCTGTAAAAATAAAAAAAAATGAATAGATTTTGCATATATCTCTCCAATTCTTGGCTAGGAATTGTGGAAGTTGAAGTCCAAAACACCTGGAGGGAGGGCTGAAGTTTGCCCATGACTGGTGTAGCAGTAGCAGTCAGGATGGAGAGAAGGCCTTTCCTCTTTTTCTGGGTCTGGGAATGATGGAATAGTGCCAGTTTATTTTTCTTCTTCCTCCTCCTCTGTCTCTCTCCCTATTTATTTATTTATTTATTTATTTATTTATTTCAATTACTTATACCCTGCCCTTCTCACCCCCGAGGGGGGACTCAGGGCGGCTTACAAACAACGGCACAATTCGATGCCTGAATCAATAAACAAACGATACCTACAACAATTTAGACAGTTAACAAATTAAAAACATTAGTACATAATAAAATAACAAAACAATCTCATGCTCAGTGTTCAGAGTTCCGTGTATCCATTCCATTCCATTCATCCATGTTTGTCGCCAGGTCTTCCTTTAACTGCCAGCATGTCCAAAAGCTTGGTCCCATATCCAGGTCTTCAGTTTTTTCCTGAACGTCAGAAGGGAGGTC